TGTCTGCTTCCATAAATATTTACAGTCTTGGAAACCCAAGGAGGGTCACTGTGAGTCAGAATCTACTCCATGGCTGTGAGTTTGGTTTTTGGAGTTCTTTTTTTTTTTTAAATAGAACTTGGGATAAGATATCTGACCAGTATATTTTGCTTTTTAAAGAAAATAATTCTGGTAAATAGGGTAGAGGGATACAAATTTGAAATTAATTTCAAGCATGAGCCTTAGGATTTATATATGGATTTTTGTGTTTTTGTTACAGACTTTTCTAATTGTTTTTCTCCATTTTGGGAAAAGGTCCAGTGACCCTGGGGAAAAGTCCTAGGCCCTTTAGACATATGAGGTGCTCACCTATATTGTTTACTTTATTGGACAGAAATTATCTATTAAAGAATTTATAAAACAAAAAAATAATTGATTATAAACCAAACACTAACCAGTATTTTTAGGTTTCTTCTGCATCTGACTTGCTCTAAACTGGTGTTAGTAAGTATACTCTACTATTAACTATGTTTCTATCTTTTATCTGGAATTGTTGTTTTACTGGGTTTTCTGGATTTTCTCCATCCTTCTTCTCAGATTAACCTGTTCATTTGCTGACAACTGTTAAATTCTAGGAAGTGAGATCAAACACTGATAGCTGGGTGTCCTTGGGTTGTAAATGTTAGGGAAATGGTTTAAGAGCAATACACTTTTTTGTCCTGGGTTGAACTATTAGTGTTCTTTAGTCAAATGCCAGACTCTTCACTTTTCTACTTTAGAAGGATTTAGAAGTAGTAACAGTTGTTTAGGAGCTCTGGTGGTGTAGTGCATAAGGCATTTGACTGCTAATCAGAAGGCCAGAGGTTCAAATCCATCAGCCATTCCTTGGAAGGAAGACTGGGCAATCTATTATCTATAGTGATACCGCCTCGGAAACCCAAGGAGGGCTCACTATGAGTCGGATCCAACTCGACAGCAGTGAGTTTGGTTTTTGGTATAGTAAAATTGGCTTTCTAAAAAGAAAAAGATTTTCAATTAGACTTCTTTATTTTTAGGGTGGGTTTTATTTTATCTTGGGGTTACTTTGTTCTCTAATTTTATACTGAATTGGAAAACAGAAGAATGAAACTGGCCACATAGACAATTTTGGGAATATTCTGTTTAAAAATGTACAATTTAGGATAATGTAATTACATATGTTGATATATGCAATATAAATTAATACAAAAAATGTATCTTTAACTAAGATTGTATTCAAAATAGAAAACCATGAATGATATTTCACAGACTCTTTTTTTTTTTTAATGGTGATTTGGGTGAAGATTTACAGAGAAAATTCACTTTCCATACAGCAGTTCACATATATTTTGTTGCATGTCACTGACCAGTTTACCACAATGCAACAGCTCCCCTCCCACTTCCTTCCCATAGTTACCTCTTCCCTGTGTCCATCCCTCCATACAGTCCTGCCCCCTGAGCTGTCTCCCTGTGCATAAGCAGCCCTTCCTTCTCCCATGATTGTTCTCTCCAAGGAGTGTATCTACCTGAGGTAA